TCCCGACAAACACTCTTATCTTTAATTTAAATATTTTCCCAATATATATTTTGACCTCTTTCTATATTAAAAGGAATCCCGACCGTTATCAGTTTCTATCACAATTCCCGACCCACATCTTAATATTTGTTATTTTTGTTTACGCCAATCTCGACCTATTAATGTTCCCTATAAAAACTCACCACTACTATTATAAACTCACCTTTTTGACTCTTTAACATTTTACCTAACCAATACCAATTCTATAAACTTAACTTAATTTTGATTGAATAAAATATATTTGGACTATTAGAAATATTTAAAATCCTCAGTAAAGGAGAACCGGTAATAGTGAACTAAATAAACATAGTTCAAAAATGGCGACAGATGCTTGACGACAGATTTGACGACATGACGACAGATTCAATTGCTTCAGGCAATTGAATGTGCACGGACACTTTCAATTACTTCTGCTGCAAAGAAATTCGGGGTTGGATAGAAAAAGCATCAGAGATTCGAGCGTTTTTAGTTGAAAGCGGATGATTGTTTGGGAACATTTGCAAGCCATAAGAGTTAAGCAACGGCAAAAGTCATGAGAGAGTTGAAGTTAGAGCCTGCATTTGTTCCTGGCGGCATTTGTTCCTTCCTGCATTTGTTCCTGGCAGTATGTGCAGGCATGCTTATTTCATAAGCATACTTTCAACTCCACTAGATGGTTCAGAATCAGATGGTCCTATCGGCGAAAGAGGTCTTTTTTAATTTTTTTTAAAATTTATTTATATAACCCAAAGGTCTTGTTGTTTTGTGTGAAATGCGTGCAATTTATAAAGGAGGAGATGGGCGCAACGAGCAATCGCACATCTTTGACTGTGATTTAAATCACGATGCGATAAGGGAAAACTATGTTTTTTGACATTGATTGATTTGTTTACTATGTTGTTAATGATTTTTTGATTATTAATATTGTTTTAATAAATTTACGGACTGGGGGATTATTGGGTAATTCCAAGGCTGGTCCCCCCCCTTTTTTTCTGTTCCCCTGACCATTTTAAGATTTTTTTCTTGAAATATAATTTACAATATATTATTCGAAAGAGCTGTTCGAGCTGAGTAGAATGATACTATGATCGGATAGATTTGTCGATTTTGAACCAAATTATGAAGCTAAATCCTCGGTGGACATGCTTTTTGTGATGTTGAAAGGGATTAAAACAAATGGTCATAACTATGTTTATTTAAGTCAGATTTCGATAAATTTAGTACCGTTCTACTCAGCTTGAAGAGCTCTTTCGAACGATATATAATTTGCCATAAAAAGTTTAAAAAATCGAAAAAAAATAAAAAGGAAAATAAGGGGGGGGACCAGCCTTGGAATTACCGATTATTGTTCCAACCAATCACTAGGGTGGGGAATTAATAGAGACTGGGGAATTAATAGAGGCTGGGGGATTATTGTTTCAACCCATCTCTAGGGTGGGGAATTAATAGAGACTGGGGAATTAATAGAGACTGGGGAATTACTAGAGTAAATACGGTAAACATATTCTTAAATTTGGCTCCGATATATTAAATTTGGCTCCGATATAGCCTATAAAAAATAACAAGATACTTTTAGTAATAGTTAATTTTTATTTAATAAATCTTTTTATCAAAATTAATGATTTTTATAAGAATTTTAGAAAAGAAATTTTTAAAAATAGGTAATTCTATTAAAAATTATTAAATTTAAGCATATAGAAACATCAAAAGACATTTCAAGAACGGCGGAAAAAATTAAATTTGTCGGTCTTCGTGTAGTTTCTCACAATTTCGGACCAGCAAAATATCAGCTTACAAATAAGCATAATCTTTCAATTTATAATAAAGAAATCTATATTGATTATTTTGTTCGAAACGATGTGCCAATTTATGGAATTAATATCGAAAGAATTAATTAGTAAATTTATTTTTTGAAAATTTGTCTAAATTTGTTCTTTCCTTTTTTGATAAAAATGTGTTCTCCTCTAAAATTCTTAAATTTATTTCAGTTTCTAATCAAAAACTTAATTTTTAAATTAAAATTATTTTCTGGTTAGAAAAATTTAATTGAAACTTAAAAAAGCGAAATTCTCAATAATTTTCGCCTGCTGCGCTGAAAAAACTCATTTGTGTGTGAAATTAAGAGAATTGAGCGTGAATAAATTTTTTTAATTGTATTTTTCAAAATATATGTTAAATCAAATAAAAAGTAACACGATATGTCAATTAACTAATTATTTAATAAGGACTACTTATTTACTTTATAAGGACTACTTATTTGGGACACGCCCAAGTAGGCGCGCGGCCATAACGGCGCAAAGCCAAAACTTGCTGGAAGATTTCCGACTTTTCTCAATTTTGGTACCATTTTCTTTAGCTCGATGAGAGGAATCGTTTAATACTAAACTGGTAAGATTCGGAAATCTTGAAGCAAATTATGGCTTTGCGCCGTTATGGCTACGCGCCTACTTGGGCTGTACCCTACTTATTTAATAAGTCGTTTAGTCAAAGTAATTTCAAAAATTACAAGTTCAAATCCAATAAATTTATAAAGATGTTTATTTAAAAATGAATGAATTTAACTCATATGTCCGTTATTAGCTTTTAAAGAGAACAAGAATTTTATTGTTGTTAGTCGAGTTGAAACATGTTTGCGTTTATAAAATGTAAATTGAAGCTATAATTATTTTTGAGGCTAAAAAATTTAATTGAGGCCTCTTTTGGTAAATACCTAGTGCATAATTACGGGATGATATCAAATTTTTTATTTAAAATTGTTGATTAAATTCATAAGTACATTTACCTATATTTCAAAAATATTTTCAATGCAATTATTAATTAAATTAATACATCATTTTCTTTGCCATTTTTAAAGAAAATATTTACATTGACAGAAAATTAATTCATAAATTTTTAATTGAATTTTAGAATTTGTCTTTTAATTTATTCCATTTTACTTTGTGTGGTAAAGGTTAATTAGACAGATGTTAAAATAAAAAATAAATTATAAAAGTTGAGTAAATATTTATATTAAACAATTGCCTTATAAATTAATTAAAACATGAATAAATTGTATATTTTAAACATATTTTTAAAAGGTTATTTAGTTTTTAATAAAATTGAAAGGCTGTCAGCATATATTAGATATACTTAATTTAAGATAACAATTTTAAATATAGATACCTCTAATTTTGATACAACAGATTATATAATATAAAGTACATATGTATGATATTTTTAGCCTCAAGAAAATAACTCATACATATTGAGAGCCGACTAACTGGAGACATATTTGAATGGCTCTGAATATTAATGAATCGAATTTGTCTACAAATGCCATATTTACACCATTTAATGTAAAATTTTAATTCTTAATTATTTTTGACTAAATTATTTTCTAAAAGTTTATCTCATTAATGAGACAAATCAGTTAATTAAGGGATAATTACATAAATTAAGAAAAGTTGTAATAGTTTCCTTTCCGCTAAATTGTAACAATAATTGTCCTGAATTTTTATTAGAATTTTAAAATAATTTGAAATTAAATAAAATTTAGGATGAATATATGGCTTTAATAAATGCTGGGATTTCACCAATATTTGTAATACCAGCAATTATATACTCCTCGATTGCAATTATTGGAATTCCACTAAACATAAGTGTTTGTTATATAACTGTTAAATACAGGTTAATTGGAATTGCATTAAATTTCGTTACTCCCTTTACTTCCTTCAACAGATTTTTCTTTATGAGTATAGAGAATAAAAATATAGCTCGGCCATGATAGTTTCAGTATGTCCGGTTCCGTTTGGACCATTGTAAGGGAATTTAAATTTTCGGCACAAAGTTTGGTCAGTAAGGCTGGCGGATAGTTGGAAATCTTCGGATATCCGGATCCGATATCCGAACCGAAAATTTCCGGATATCCGGCCTTTTTCGGATCCGGATCCTCCAACCTTATTGGTCAGTGGCCCAGTTAATTGAAATGAAATTGTTCAAAAACCGTCCAAACCTACATTAAGTGCCATCAAAACGGATAAAGAAAATTTAGGGTATTATAACTTTTAAGGGAAGGAAACAAACGGAGGAACAAAATTAAAGGTTACTTGGAGGGTTAAAATAAAAATTTTAGAAAAAAATATTCTGCACTCTCAAGTAATACATCAATTCTTCTGGTTTTCAACTCATTTTACGAAATTCTGCATCAATCCAACCATTTTTACTTTCTTTCTGTAGCTCTGAGTGGCAGAAATTTAATTCCCTTTGGAAAATCTATTTTCTTCAATGCACACAGTATTGTTGGGTTTTTTTCAGCTCTTATGATGTTTAACTTACTCAGTATTGACAGACTTATTGCGGCAGCATTTCCAATTTAGTAAGTTATAAGGAACTAGAACTAAAGTAAATCCTGTTCTAATTTATTTATTATCAAGTTATCAATGTATAAACAAGAAAAAGTACATTAGTCTTCATGTTGCTATTATATTATTTTATGGTTCCTTTATATTGTACAAAATTGTGTATTCTGCTATTAAATTTTCTGATGTGCTCGTTGATGGAAACTTAAATAGCGTTATAAATGTGATAAATAATGACAGTGTTATTTTATCACTGCTAAGTTATCCTTTCGTTTATGCTCCAGCTTTAATTTCTTATTTGATTGTTGCAGTAATATTGAAAATTAGAGAAGGTTGGTTTCTTAAAATTTGGGTTTCAAATATTTCATAAGTCCAATTTGAAGAGGGGCTGTTTAAGCGATACCCTCTATTTTAGGTACGCCTTATTGTAGGGTACAAATTTGGCAGTCTGTACATAGAGGTCGGCTACTTTCTTCATTCCTAAACCCTTGTCAAGCAATCAAACATGATTAAATTTATTCCGCAAAAACACGTAGGGATAAGGGAGTAGTACCCAAATTTTAAGTATTTATCATATGGTTAGTCTGTCACCTATATTTTATTTTTAAATTAGGAAAATTGTTTAACACTCCTTCTGATCAAAGTATGTCAAAAGTATACAGATCTCTGTTTTTGATTGTTCTTGTTAATATGGGAAGTTATACATTTGGCATCATAATGTTTAAATTATTTAAGATACTAACTACTTTAAATTTTATTTCATTCAATTTATTAAATTTTACAATTTTTGGCACTATTGGTGGAACATTCATTAATTTTGGCAGTACTTCAAATGCACCAATTCTTTACATAAACAGGTTAATTATACACAGGAACAAAAACGATTCAGGATATTTTTTAATATTAAAGGATTTAACATATAATACGGGCCCTTATCATTACTCTTTTGATCTGAAAATATCTAGCATTTTATAATTTAAAAATAGAATTAGGGTAGGGGGCACTCTTCTAGTAGCTTTCTTAAAAATAAATACGTAATCGAGAGCAGAGGTGGGTCAGAATTCCGACTTCCTATTCCCGTCGTTTTTTTCCTTCCGATTTCCGACAGTTCTGATTTCCGACACCTCGGGCTGTTCCGACCCACCTCTGGTCGAGAGCATAATAAAATAAAAATATATTCATTAAATAAAAAAATTAAAAAATTTTTAACTCAACAATTTTTCAGTAGCGACTATAAAGAAGCGTATAAAAAAGAATTTAAATTTATTAGACGTTTATTTTTGTTTAAATGGTTTAAAAAGCAACAAACAACAACTGTCCATCCAATTATCCAAAATAATTAATCTTCTAATAATTATTGGTGATTAAGGATTAAATGAAAATGAAATTAAACTCATTCTATGACATATTAGATTCGTTCAAGATTATTAGTTTACTATCACGAATATCATGAACTTCCGTGATTCCTAAATATTATAATGTTTTCTTTTGCGTTATAACATTTGAATTTTCTTTACTGCGCCGAATTTTTGGCGCCTAAGGCTCATATGCAAGATTCTGTTTACTCTTGCTGATCCTTAAGCATTTAAAAATTCTAAATATAAATTCTATATATTAAACATTCTATATAAAATTTGAAAAGTTAAATTGAAGTTAAACTAAATTTTATAAAATCTAATATAGACTGATAAATCAAGAATATCAAAAAACTTAAAAAATAATTTAGATATGTTTACTTATGTTAGAAAACTAAAAATAATCTTAAAAAACCCCAATAAATCATAAAAAGAATAATATGCTCGAATCTAATCGAGTTGAGTCTTAACTTCTACCGAATCAATCGGGCTGATTTTTATAATATATTAATTAAAACAGGTAACAATTCATATGAACCCGAGAAATATTTATAAACTTTAACTGGATTTAACAAACTTTTAAAATATTAAACAATTTTAAAAAATTTAAAGCTATAAATTGCTTAATTACAATCAATTAATCTGGGACGATAATTCCTCATGATTGATTAAAGAGATATCGAGGATTATTAGGATTAAGAGGGATATCAGGGAATTAATTGGGATTTGAATAATATCAGAGAAATAAGAAGACTTGGAGAGATTAATGGGAGAAGCAGCAATTATTAATAGATATTTGATTTTTAAAATTAATTTAAATATTTTTGAAAAATTACGAATACGAAAAAAATTTTTAAATTACGAATTACGATTACGAAAATTTTTTTAAAATTACGAATTACGATTACGAAAAAAATTTTTAAATTACGAATTACGATTACGAAAAAAATTTTCAATTACGACGCAACTCTGCTCACCATCTCATATTTTCTCGCATGACATTGATTAATTAATTAACAAATGTAAAATATTATACAATTTTATACCATCTAAAGCTGTCAATTGTCTAATTAAATAAATAAATTAATTAATTACTTAATTAGCCCTCTAAAATTTCTAAAAATTAAAAATGTCTGAATAAATTTTTAATTAAATTAAATATATTCTAATAAATCGACAAACATAAGAAAAAGCGAAAAAGTTTGCAGTGCGTGATAACTCACCAAAATAATGACAAAACAATGTTCAACTGCGATTCCTTAAAAAGGGTTTTCTATTTTGCTGTCATAATTAGGGCAAGATTCAATCAATCTCGAGTTTTTGATTCAATTCAAAAGTTTGCAGGTCCACTTTCCCTTATAGTCTAATAATTATCTGTATTTGTTAATTATTTAAGGCCTCCGTTTTAATTCGCAGATTCGGCGCTTTTTTTTCTTTGTCCTCTTCACTTTATCTTCTTTGTTAAATTTTTTCTATGAATTTTGCAACCTCCTTTTGACATGCAGGCAAATGGAGGCACCTGCGTTAACTTCGTAAAATTATTTTTTAAATTTATTTTTAGGAGAAATATTTAAAATGAAAATCCGCAAATTATTATTAATTTTGAAGTTAGTATTTGTATTCCAGTGTTTATCTAAAGGTAATAAATTATTGGGGCATTAGGCGTTTTTTTGGTGACAAGGATATTTAACACTTAATAACCCAGCGAAATATTTTTTCCGAAAAATAAGATTTAACTATCTTGTAGCAAATTTCAAGGGCTTTCAGATAAGCCTAAAATAAAAATTTAAAATAATCCATAAGAGGTCGAAAATATTTTTTAAAGAGCCTTACCCTATTTTACGTTGATTTTCGGGTGTCGAGATCTCGAGGCTGAAGTGAGATATGGGTCTAATTTTTTTAATATTTTCTTAATATCGATAGATATGCTTGCTCAAATTTTTGTAGATTTTTCCTAATATTAGAAACTCAAAAATTTTAAGTGCGTTTATAATTATGGGACATGCGTTTTCGAAAATTTTTAAAAAATTTTTAAATAAAAATCCAGACCTCTTGTAATTTTAACAATATTATTATATATGCCTAAGCCTGCAATCATTATACGAAAATTCAGAAAAAAATAAACAGATTTTAAGTGCAAAATTCAAAAAAATGGGTGCGTTTATAATTATGGGACAGAGTGTATGTTGGGCAAAACATAAAAGTCTTTTTGCAAGTTTCTTCTTGCTCAAAATTATTATTTTTGTAAAATATTTTTAATTAAAGTGAAAAAATATTTTTAATTAAAAAAATAAACATTTAAAAAATAGCTTCAACATCCCATAGTGATCAAGATAGTAAATGTCCATGTGGTAGAAGTAAAATTATTAGTTTAATTCTGGACGAAAATATAAATGGAATTAAATTAAAAGTTGACGATACGTTGATTGGGACAGAAAGTAGCGTTGGAAAAGCAAGTTTTTATCAAGTTATAAGATTTATTTTTAGATATAAACAATATTTATAATTTTTCACAAATTTCCCAGTTTTCGTGGACAGGCTATATCCTATTCAATCCCCTTATTTCTATCGCATTATAATCAGTGATGGGAAAGTTCCAGACATTTACTGGTTCCGTAGTTCCAGTTCCAAGCTAGTTCCAGACATTCACTAGTTCCATAGTTCCAGTTCCAAGCTAGTTCCAGACATTCACTAGTTCCATAGTTCTAGTTCCAAACTAGTTCCAGTTAATCGTTAGTTCCATAGTTCCAGTTCCAAACTAGTTCCAGGCATTCACTAGTTCCATAGTTCTAGTTCCAAACTAGTTCCAGTTAATCGTTAGTTCCGTAGTTCTAGTTCCGGAACTGGAACTAGAACTAATTAGTTCCGGAACTGGAACTTTGCCCATCACTGATTATAATATATTAATGAAGGTAGTGTTGTTGGTGACCGGTTAATTTTTCCTTATTGCTGACCAAATAAAGAAGAATTAATCCACAGGCAAGAATTAACAGGACGACAACAACCCTATTTTAAAGGTTAAACATGCTTATTGGCCAGCTAGGAAATTTGTGTAGCTTTGAAAATATCTCAACTAAACAAGACAACATCCGAAGCGATTGAAAGAGAAATTGAAGTTTTAAATTATTTTAATAAATTGCCAGATCATGAAAGGAATCATATAATAAAAATGTTTGGATAGTAAGTTTATGCAATTTTTTAAACAAATAGACCTACCTTTTTTGAAGCGAGATGAAGGAAATCGAGGGCAATCAAGTTATGTTTACAGTTTTAGAACTTGGCGGGATGGATTTGCAAAAGTATTTTGATAAAATAATTAGAGATGAAGAGGGTTATGTAGAGGAAGAAGAGGGTTATGTAGAGGAAAGAACACACGAAGATTTTCTTGTAAAAGTTTTTAGAGGGGCTGCTAAAGCACTTACACAATTCCATAAATGTAGGAATTTTTTGATAAATTTTATCTATGTAAAAATAATTTTTATTTAGATGGAATTCATGGAGATATTAAATTAGAAAATTTTATTGTTTCGTTGGGGAAAATTTATGATGAAAATGTGATTGAATGTAAATTAATAGACTTCAACACATCTGTGCTAAAGGGTCAATATAGTCTAAAAAATATGAAAATTTTCGCTAAAAAGAATAAAGCTCCAGAAATAGTAAAAAGCGGAAAGGTATTTTTCATATTTATTTTCTTTTTTCGTATTAAACATATGTACATATATGTACATAAAAATTATATATGTACAGCTGTGCTCTTGCAGTAAAGCTTAATTAAGCATTATTTAGGCATCTAAAGAGGCAGATGTTTGGGCTTTTGGTATAATGGTCTACAAGCTATATAATAATAACTTTAGTAAGTTTTGATGGATCAAATATATTTTTAACTTTTTTATAATTTATTTCATAAAAATACATTTAAAAAATATTATATAAACAGCTCTGAGCAGGCATAATGTATATAGAACAATGGAGGAATACCGCTCAAATACTGAGTACAATACTAAATTGGATCGTGTTATAAAGGTAAATTATAAATGTATACATCCTGAAAAAATATCTTAATTTTATATATTACAATACTTTAAATTAAAAATAGTCGAAAATATAGATAAGTTATGCCAAAATGAAAAGTCCTAAACTATAATGGTACCCTGTATACGGCAACGATTAGAAAATCAAATTTATTTTAAAAACAATTTTACAGGCTTGTGTCCAACCTGCTCCATCAAATCGCCCTACAATGAAAGAAATTGCTAAATTTCTCAACGGAGAAATTGGGTCTTTTGGATATGAACAGCGTGAAATGAAGCGTCACTTTAGTTCATGCCTTGGACGTTTTTGAAAAATTTTTCAAAAGTCCGTTAAAATTCTCTTAAATGCTCTTAATTTACTAAAATTTTCTTTACGTCAAAATTAAAGAAATATATGTAATTGATACGTTCTTGAATTGAACTAAAATTTCATAAAAACTTTACTAAAATTTTCACTAAATCTATCTTTGAAATTGCCTTCTCATAAACCATAAAAATGTAAATATGTATATTAGAGTGCTAAAACGGTTACTGCTAAAACGGTTATTATTTTATAAAAAAAATTCAAGAAAAAATTTTTGCGCGCGGTTTAGCTTATCTTTATCCTAGTCATGAAAACTATTTACAAAAAAATTTTCAGTCGAAACGGACCCTTTTCCATTGAGTTATATCGAAAAAACATGATGTGCCATCTTTTTGTTACGCAGTGTATTTGTGTTGTTTGTACAAATAAAAAACTTTATTTTTATATTGTATGTATTTATTGGAAAGCTGGTTTTAAAGTATGTATCTTCACTTTTTTTTTTAATTTTCCATTTAGAAAAGCACGGCTATTTTAAAAATACATATGTTTATTATGTATAAAAATGTTTAGAAAAATGTTAAATAAATATCAATTGATTCTTTTTATTTTAACATTAAAACAAAACTTAGAAACTTCTTCAGTAATAATAGAAAAATTAATTGTTGGATTGTATTTATTGTAAAGTAGATTTGATACTTTTTTACTTATCATAGAAACATTATTTAATCTAATTTCTTTGACCATTTTAGAAAGATCTTTTGATGTTTCTATATGCTAAAGTTATTTTTTAAAAAATTATTTTTTTAAAATTATTCTGAGAAAACAAATTTTCAAAATTTAATAATTCAAAAATCGAGATCAGATTAATCAATAAAATCCCCCTTGTTTTGAATAAATCCATGTATTAATATTGAGGGGCAACAATTCTAAAATTTTGCGAAAATCATGATATCTAGCTACAATAGTTTGTCAAAAACTTTAAGACAACCTGTAATTTTCAAGTTTATTCAACTTCCACGTAAGTCTAGACAATAAATTTTAAACAAATGTTTACTACCGTAAATAAAAATTATTTAACAATTACATCTTAAAAAACTCTAAATGGAATGCGAAATTTTGCGAAATTTAGTCTAAACATGTGCCAAAAAATTTTATATACAGTAAGAAACAGTTGTTTGAAATTTCATTGACGAGACTTACTTGGAAGCTGAAAAAACTTGAAAAGTATAGGTGGTCTTACATTAGTTTATTGACACACTGTAACTGTGAATATTTTTAAAGGACTAAGGTTTTTATAGCTTCTAACTGATTTCTTATCTAGTTTACGTAGTGACAAAAAATAATTTTTACCTGTAGAACTAGTTTGTAAAGTTCAAAGCTGGGATGATTAAAAAGAACATTAGAAAATCTATCTCCTCTATTTGTCAAAATTTCAAATAAATTTGTTCTACGCAGCTCTGTGTCGGTGCCTTGGTAAATATTAACGATCAATTCCCTGGAAATCAAATGATCCAATATAAATATAAATAAATTTATTTGAAAATAAAGAAATTCAAAATTTGACCCTATCTGAAAAAGAGGGCGCCTTTATTTTTTTCATCATTCTTTTCCAACCTTAATATATAAATACAGGGTGCGTAAAAAGTTCCCGTAATTTTTAAAATTTCAATTATTGGAGTGAAACATTGATTATTACAACAAAATTCGTTCATAATCATATTTAGCACGATTTTTGGGTTCAGAAAACATTTAGTCTATAAAAAATTTTCAGAGAATAGATGTCAAAATGTCCTCTCGAAAGTCCCCCAAAAATGTCGTTTCATGAAGCGCTTGGTCGCAGCTGGTCGGCTAAACGGGTTTTGTTTACTTAAGTGAAAATTTTTACCGGTTAACGCTTTCACAATACCCAAAATTGTCACCAATTAGTCCGAAGGACTAATTGTGTGCAAAAAAAGACCTTTCCCGTAATCTGTGATGGTTCGGTGAGGAATTTGTGCCACTGGGAGACACCGTTAGTATTTATCGCCAGTAACGGCAAAATCTATGCTTATGTCTATCAAAATACATACCTTAATGATATTAAACAATTTTTAATTGATATTAAATAATTCTTAATAATATTAATGTAAGGTATATTTATATATTAAGGTGGAAAAAAATGATGAAAAAAATCAAGGCGCCCTCTTTTGCAGATAGGGCTCAAAATTTTCCTTGTTAATATATAAATTAGTCTTCTGGGAATGAATTTGTAGAGGTATTTTTGTTCCATTTTCATCAAATAATAATTTAATCATTTGGGGATTGAATATAATGGAACTGAAATCAGCATATTCATAGACACAATTAAATAGTTGTTCAAGTAAATAACGAGCAAGTTTCATTTCTTTAATATTTTTTGGAATGTTTGGAAAAGGCAAAAATAGCTCTAAATAATAAAAATCAAAAAAATAATTTACAGTTTGAGGAGGGTCTTGATGATATAATATATTTATTAGAAAATTGTAGGGCGAAAATTGTCTTTTGATAATATTTTAGAAAGATTGAAAAATTAATTTTTTGTTTGGCTAAATTATATGTACTTTCCGGGGAATTATTTTAGGACAATCTATAGGTCAATCAAACGACTTCGAAATTAGCTTGATTCGATGAGTGAATGAAATTATTATGACCTTCTTCGGTATAACTACTTTTTGTGCTTCACAAAAACCCCTCACCCTAAACGGGGTTTTTGAAGTAGTTATTCAGAAGTTTCAAATTAGGAATGCGAAAGTATTTGGATGTAGTAAACCCAAAGTGGTCAAGTTTTAGTCATACTGTTTTTAACTTTAGCACACAATTTCTTTAGATCCAAATATTCCAAAATGTTGGAGCCCATATTTTCGGACACCCAACTAAGAAATTAACCTTGTCCGTATTTATGACTTTCTTCTACTCCACAAGCAACAATATATGTATATTCCTCTATGAACAGTATTCAAAAACATGGGAATTGACTTTTTTATTTCACTTTTCCACTAAAATTTATTTATTTTAAAATAAAAGAAAATTAAACTTTTTTCTCGAGCTCCTCACTCAATTCGAAGTCATAAAATTCTAATTCTGGTTTAAAAAATTTATAAGAAGATAAACTTCCCTTATAAATATCAACCTAAAAATTAGTAGAATTTAATATTATCAAATTAGTGGTACATTTCTGATTTTATTAAATTTCTTCCGTGCCAATTCCTTCTTATATTCTTTAACAAAATTTTTATAAAAACGATTTGTCTGTTGAATAGAGAATATTTGATTGAAATTTAGACATTTACATATATCTAGTTGAATTTCTGGTGGAAGAAGATTCATTTTTGGCTAAATTTTTTCTGAAAAAATAAACATTGACTGAAGGAATATTCATTAAAAAATATGAGAATTTACTAGAATATCCAATGATTTTATCTAGCTTAGAACAAACTAATGCAATCCACTGTTCATATTTTTTCTACTTATTTGAATATAATCAAAGGCCAATCAAATAAGTTTAAAGATTAATAAAATGTTCTGTCAACAGAGCTAACGAGCGACAACTTTGATTTATTTATTTTCTTTTATTCATTTACACACAAGGGTGTGAATGACAAAAATCGTCGTTTTAAATGCTGTCTGATGAATCATCCTTACACTATTTAGTGGTTTTATCTTTTACAATTAAATGTTGACATCGATATTTTTACAGATTTTTCTATACTAAATGGAGATAATGAATTTACTTAAGAGTATTTTTGATTTCGTAAACTGCTTTTAGAGATGCTATTTTCATTATTGTTAAATTTTATTAAAAATATTTTTAATTATTTATTTTTCGGTTTATGTATTTTGTCCTATAAGGGGGTTTCATGATCTTGATCTCACAAAATCCTACGCGGGCATGAAACCCCATTATCATGTTTAGCATATAGAAACATCGAAAGATTTTTCTAAAATGTTGAAATAATATTAGAAAATAAATTATTTTCAATAATTTCAATAATTTTCAATAATTTTCAGTAATTCAATAATTTTTCAAAATTTTTCAGAAAAAATAATTTATTATTATTTTTTCAAATGTTCTTTACGTTTATTTGTAATTATTTTCCCTTTTATTCAAACTCTTCCCTCAAAACATATTTTAATGTTTTTTACGTTTTTCCAGTTACAACATTTCCCCAAAACATTATTTTAATTTATTTCTCTTTGTATTTCCTTAGTTAATTTTTCCTTAAACTATTTTTACAACCTATATTTCAAACTCGCTTTCTTTACTTCCCGCCCTTTATCATTTTATATAAATAGCTTTTTATATTTCTAATTTTTGCCTTTTTTGCCTTATTTTAAACTTGTCTTTATGTCAATAAAAGATTTTATTTGATAATTGGTTTGGTAAGATTCTCATTAAATTGAGAGATTTCAA